AGACACACAAGTACACACGCAGACACACAAGTACACACGCAGACACACAAGTACACACGGACAGACACGCACAGACATGCACACACACACACAGACACACACAGTGTTTAGACTCTGAATCACATGCCTCTCTTCCTGTAAATCAGACTGAAATGAAGCTGAATATAAATTACTTCAGCTTAAACTGGCCAACGTTTAAACCGAGCAGGGGGGCTGGAGACGTTGGGGGGGGGGGGTCTTTTAGCCCATGCTGGCCAGAGGACCACATGGCCCCCTGGAGGATGCCGGTGAAAGTGCCAGGTTCAAAGGGCACCTTTGTTAGTTTGTTTTCATTGATGGCGGAAGTGGTTAATCTTCATATAGCGGCTGGATGTGGCGACTGCAGGCCGGGCTGTAAAGCCTGGGGGGGGGTTGGTGGTGTCCTGAACTCCCCTCTCGGCCCCCTCACTTGGGTTACTGCTCACGGCCCCCATCTCTGACTCCCCCCACCTGTAGTAGTGGGGGCCGTACACCTCCTGACGGGCCTGCTTCCAAGTGATGTCATTTCCTCTTGAGCCGGTCTTCCAGCTCGTGTTGCCGTTTAATGAGTCTCTCAATTTCTGCTCCCAACGTCTGGAGGTTCTCCTGTAGAGTCACCGGTCACATGAAAGCCTTGCATTATTACTTTAAGTTCATGTCTAGCAACTTGAAAAGTGTAAAAATAGCATGCACTCACTCACGCGCCGCACTGATTAAAGCCTGATTAATGAAATAGGCTGATCATTCCCCTGGAAGGGGAGCATGACAAGCAGCTGCCTCCTGTTACGGGCTGATCCTCCGCCTGAGCCGTTAATCCAGCAAATCCGGACGTGCTAATGCACTAACACGCCAACACGCTGACGCTCCAACGCCAACACGCATGCTCTGCACACTCAACACGGAGCCACTGGCATTCGGACCGCCCCACACACCTTCAGGGTGATGTTCTTCAATAGCGTGTCTTCCAGCAGCGCCTGCAGCTTGCGGTTGATCTCCAGCGACAGCTCAAGCGTCAGGCCACTGTCGGCCGGGTGCGACGTGTACAGTGAGGCCATGATGCCACCCCTACGGCTCAGGTGGGCCTTGTTAAAGTCCGACGCTTCTGATGAAAGGGCGCCTGACTCCTCCCGCAGCACGTAACTCTGGATAATCCTGCAGGGAGGGGGAGTGTTTACAAAGAAGCCCCCCACACATGCGGGGGGGTCTCTCCCCACCTGGAAGCTTCCACCTATGGCACACATTACACAAAGGTTCGATAAGCAGAGTTCCACCTGCTGCTCCACTGCACACAGGAGCTGCTCTCTCATATTTATCAGCCATCTGTGTTACATTCATGGTTACCCTTCAGGCACTGCACAAGCAACACCCCCATCGCAAGCCGATTATGGTGCAGTCCTGAAAATTAATTTCTTATGACCCAGTATCACACCAAGGCCACATGGTCAACTGTGTGAGTGTGTGAGTGTGTGTGTGTGTGTGTGTGTCTGTCCATCTATCCTGCCTTCTTGTGCAATTACAGCAAAATCACAGGGCTAATATATCAGTCCTGTCACTGTGATAATTACAGAAACGTTGCACTGTCTATAGCAGTGAGAGATAAGCACGCATGCACACACGCACACACACACACACACGCACACGCACACGCACACGCACTTACCTTTATCAGCTCTTGGGTCACATGGGACCCCAGTCCCGCAGAACGCATTACAAAAAGAACAAATACAAATCATAAATGAAAGGCACCCTCTCTGGAGGATGCAGCCTGTGTCTCTCTGGACATGGCCGTCTCCCTGGGTCACATGACCTACAGGCCGCACCCTGCCGCGACACAAAGATGGCTGCCAATCACAGTGCTGCCAAGCCACCCAGGAGCCAACCTTGCTAGCAAGGGCTGCTTTGCCACCTTGAATTTCTTCTGAATTTTAGTTCCTTTGGGCTTCACAGTGCACTGAGATTTACTAATCAGACTGGCCTTTGGAGAGCTCCACACAAACACCAGGAGAGCAGGCCAGAGGATGGCCTCCGAGATAAAGGAAAGCATGCCCCCATGAAAAGGGCAGAAAAGAGGGGAGTGGGGCCGGGGGGCAGGAGGAGATGCAAGTTGTGATGGGGTTAGGGGGCGGGGTTAAGGGAGCGGGCAGGACTAGGGGGCGGGGTTAGAGAGAAAGGGTGGGGTGAGGGGGAGAGGGGGCAGGTGGTGCGAGTGAAAGCATGCCCCCATGAAAAGGGCAGAAAAGAGGGGAGTGGGGCCGGGGGGCAGGTGGAGATGCGAGTTGTGGTGGGGTTAGGGGGCGGGGTTAAGGGAGTGGGCAGGGCTAGGGGGCGGGGTTAGAGAGAAAGGGTGGGGTGAGGGGGAGAGGGGGCAGGTGGTGCGAGTGAAGGCTGACCGCCTCACTCACTTAGTCTTCTTGCGGATTTCCTCCACAAGCTGCTTGATGTGGTCCTCCATGAACTCGATCTTCTCGTTCTTACGGGCGAGGGCCTTTTGCAGGCGCACAATGCGCTCCACCAGCACAGTCTTGTCTACTTCGGGGAAGCTGTCCGTCCGCATGGTGCCCGTGCTGCTCTCCGGGGAGCGCTCGTCCGGACCGCCACTGCTGCGTGCGTTCAGAGAACCTGGGCCAAGAACAGTGTGACAAACACAAACTCATCCATCAGGGAGCCGTCACCTAGAACTACCGCCGAAATGTTTCTCCAAAACCTGCAGGACGTCCGTCTGCAAGGTTGTGACGTTGCAGGTTCTGATGGGTTTTTGACCCCTTACTCAGGCTCTTACTGTTTTGTTACATGCAACAAGTAGTTACAGCAATACTACCAATGAAAGAGCCTAGAGCTCCCTCTGCTGGCAAATATTAATACAAGTCCCTCTCGTGCTACAGCGTATCCAGCAGGCGGGGTTGGTGGCGTACCCGAGGAGCTGGAGCGGCTGCCCATGCTGTTGGCCTCCCGGTCACAGGCTCCGTTCTCCACCTGCTCCAGCTTCTTCCTGGCTGTTGGGACAGATGCACCAACCTCAGGTAAAGGTGCAGGAGCCTGGCCTAGAGGAGCCGTAGCGCGGTTGCACAACGCCGGGTGTTTGTGCCTCCTATGCCTCCCTTGGAACTCCTTACATATGTATCGTGGAGAACAAACCACAAACCCAAAAAGCATTTGGAAACAGGGCCTTCAGTCAGCTCTGCTTGCAGGCCTGGGCTCAGTGAGCTGGGGGCGCGCGGCGCCTACCCTGGCCCAGCTGCTTGGTGAGGTCCTTCACGTTGGCTGCGTGTTTCCTCTTCTGCGTGGCGAGCTCGTCTCCCAGCTCGTCCACGCGTGTCTGCAGCTGCGCAGTCTCTGTCTGCAGCGCGGCCCGCTGTGCCTGCAGGGTCTGCACTTCATCTAACCGCTGCTGCCGCTCCTGCTGCAGCCACTGCGTCTGCAACGCACATGTAGGCAGGTGACAGATCTGCGCAGAGACGGCAGCGGCGAAGAAGACACCAGGCCGTAACGTAGGGATTCACCAGCTCAGCAGCGGCGCCCTCTCTCTCCTCCAGTCGCCCCTGCAGCTCTCTGGAGGCCACGCCCATGCGGTCCAGCTGGGCCTGTAGGGCATTGCCCTCAGACTGCAGCTGGGCGTTTTTACTGGTCAGCTTCTCTGTGAAGCCCAGAAGCTCCCCCTCTCGGACACGGCTCCCCTGGATGTCACTGTGCAGGTCGACGATCAGCCCGTTCAGGTTGTCCACCTCCTCCTTCAGGGACCGGATCTCCTGCTGGTCTCTGCGTGGTGGGGTGGGGTGTCGCGGAGGGTTTACGTTGAGGCCGCTCCCAATGCTTTTGGTATTCCCCAAAATGCCCACCACATCTGGCCCCTTCCCCACCCCACCCGGAACCCCGATGCTCTCCCCGCCCCGTTTGCCCCAACCTGTGCCGCTGGTCCTCCAACTGCTGCACGATGCCCAGCTGCTCCTTCTGGCTCTGGATCTGGGCCTTCTGCCGGTTGATGATCTCCCTGTAGTTGCTGAGTTCCTCTTCTGTACGCGGTCGTTCCTCCTCGAGGCACCTCACCTGTGAAATGGGGAGATGGCATGATGAGAGAGAGTGAGGGGAGAGGGGGAGGACTGGGTAAGCAGAAGGATCAAACCTTAGTCCTCAAGGTCTCAAGCTCATCCATTCCTTCCTGGAACGTTCTCTTGAGGTCCTCCAGCTCCTTCATTTTGGCACGATGCATCTGCCACAGGGGCAGAATGGTTAAACATGTGCAGCCCGACTCACTCTTCGTCACACCCCCTGGACCTGGAAGGTGGTCCGCGGTTCACTCTTCCTCACACCCCCTTGGCCATGGGAGGAGGCCTTGCCCGCCAGCCAGCTCAGTACCTCCAGCTGATCAGTCTGCTCCTGCCGCTGTTTCTCCAGCTCGCCTCGAGTCTCGCGCAGCTTGGCATCCAACTCGTTGGACTTGATCTCCTCTGACTCCTAGTCACAGAGAAGGACATGGGTCAGTCAGAGGATGTCTCACCAAAGACAGGGGAGCAGTGGCGCTGCAGTCGGAAATTGGCAGACGCCTGCCTGGTAGGTCTTAATCATGTCCTGGCAGTTCTTGCGGATCTGGTCGGTCTCCTCTTTGGCCTGGGTCAGCCTGGATGTGGTTTCCCGCAGCTTGTCCTTGGTTTCCTGCACTCGCAGGAAGAGGAGAGACATCAGATGGGTGCATGAGACTCCCCGACAGACCCACCCAGACTGTGCTCCTCTCCACTCCGGTCTCACCCTATTGGCGTCCGACTCGCTCTTCAGCTTGTTCTGTGCCCACTTGACCTTGATGATGTGGGAGTTGATCTCCTCCTTCATCTTCTCCAGCTCCCTGGTGAGCCTGGTCGCCTCGCCTTCCTAGTGAGAGCGGGGCAAGCAGATCAAATCGAGCCAATGGAACTACCCCACACACGGCCAGAGCGGCCACCAGGGGGCCGTGGGCTCACTTTGGCCTCCAGCAGCTGCTGTAGCCGGCCCTTGTCCTGGGCCAGCTGGTTCCCCCGCAGGGCCTGCTTCTCCACCTCCCTGCTGGCCTCCCGGAGCCGGCGCTCCAGCTGCTCCTTGTCCCTGCGTAGGTCCAGCGCCTCCTTTTCCCCTCTCACGTACTTCATCACCATGGCCTCTTTCTCTTGCCGAGCCTCCTCACACTTTCTGCTGGCCTGAGTGCATAAGATTAGTTAAGGGGCATATGGGGGGGGGGCAGGGGCCACGCTGGGTTAGGGGCATACGGGGGTGGGGGGCAGGGGCATACGGGGGTGGGGGGCAGGGGCCACGCTGGGTACCTGCTCCAGCCGGTGGGACGTGTCGCGCTGCATCTGCTGCATGGCTGCCTTGGCAGATGCCTCCTGCTGCATCAGCTTGTCCTTAGAGGCCCGCAGCTGCCTTCCCAGCTCCTCGGTCCGGGCCTCCATCTGCAAGGGGCGGGAAGGGGCAGCTGTGACGGCACACCCAGGCATGCAGGCATGCAGGCATGCAGGCATGCGGCGCGGCCTGTCGGAGCGGTACGGCGGGTGAGTCGCACACCAGGAACCACAGTAATGTGGCTTTGGCTTTAACAATGGCGGGGGGGGGGTTAGCTTTAACAACGGCAGGCACTTCCGCAAAGCGGGCGGGGGCCCATTACCTTTGAAGTGTGCTGACGTACTAAAAAACTCCTGTTCTTCCTGTTACTCTGGTTCCTCAGGATTTACACTGGTTGCCAGGTACATTCAGAATCAAGTATAATAATAATAATACGTATCACCTACAAAGCTTTTCATAGACTTGCCCCTAGCTGTAGTCTGACCTCCTTCTTCCCTACAAGCCGGATTGTATATTAAGATGTTCAGGTTCCAGATTCCTCACAGCACCTAGGGTTAGATTATCTTTTATGGGTGGCAGGGCATTTAGTGTTGAAACTAAATGCACTGCCACAGAATATGCAATCTATTTAAGTTTTTAAGCTCCAGTTAAAAGCATATCTGTTTCAGGAATATTATAATTCATCATCCAGTGTGTAAAATTAATCTTTGTTTTGGGTGATAATCTTGTATGGCTTCCTTTATGTAAGACTGTATGCACTGTAAAGCGCTCTTGAGTGCGAAAAAGGCGCAATATATTATACATATATATTTATTATTATTATTATTATTATTAATAATAAAAATAACAATGGCAGCCACTTCCTCGAAGGGGAGAGGCTTTACCTAAAACACTACAGCCCTGAGTGGCTGCAGCCCCCCAGCCAAGGCGTATCCTCGCACCCCCAACACCTGGCCGGCTGCTCCCCACCTTCTGCATGGTGTCCAGATGCTGCCGCTCTGCCTCCATCCTCCGCTTCAGATCCTCTTTCATCCCATCTTTCTCCGAGCAAATTCCCAGGATCAGATCCTGGTGCCGCCGATTTTCCTCCAGTAGCCTATGGGGGGGGGCATTAATCCCATCCCTCTCATTACCAGCCCCCAGAGTCATGTGACCACTAACGAGAACAATCAGCAGTATCACATGAGTATCACACAGTGTTTTTGCGCAAGTACTTCTTCAATTAACGTACCCAGCTAAGTTGACGTAAGTTCCGGTTCCCAGCATGTCTCCCTAATCTGTACTGGGCCATGCCCTCCCCAGGGACACACACAGGCTTCCCTGACATGACCTGCAGCTCTACACAGTGTCACTCATTCAGCACAGATTCAGAGATCTCTCACCCTTCCAGCCCATCGACAGAAGCAGAGTAAAATCAGAGTATGGATGGCTATGTACTCCCCCCTAACCCAAAATTAACAGGGGGCCTCAGAAGGTTGGGCAGGCTAGCAGAGAAACAGCCCTGACGCGTCAGAGGACAACGACAACAAGAATGCCCTCACCTCTGAATGGCCTTCTCCTGCTGCGAGTATTTATACTGGAAACACTTCTCGAAGGCTGTCGCAGATTTCTGGCTGTTCTGCGGCCCATTGGGGGCACCAGGGGTGTCGCTGGGGAAGCGGCAGTCAAGCAGCTCGGATTCCAGCTCATCCAGCAGGGACTCGTGGGATAATGTACGCTGGATCTCTGACATCAGCTTCCGGCTGCACTCCGTGTCATAGGGGCTGGCGGCCTCGGAGGGTCCAGGGCTCCTGTGTGATGCCGGTGTGCCTGGCAGCTCCAGGACCTCTTCAGCTGGTGGCGTCATGGGTAGAGAGTCAGATGCCTCTGTGGGTGGGGCCACGGCCAGGAGTGGGTCATGGCTGTCATCCACAGACATCTCTGTGGGCGGGGCCTCAGCTGGGGGCGGGTCATTGCTGTAATCCACAGATGCCTCCGTGGGCAGGGCCACAGCTGGGAGCAGGTCATCTCTGTCATCCACAGATGCCTCTGTGGGCAGGGCAACGGCTGGGGACAGATCATTGCTGTCATCCACAGGTGCCGCTCCATTTGTGCCAGGAGGAGGCAGGTCTGTCTGGTTCTCCTGGACAGACTCATCTTCTGGTGGGGTCAAACAGCCTCCTTTCTCCTGGGGGGGCTCTCCTCTTGCTATGTCCCCTCCTCCTTCAGTCTGAGCACAGCCCAGGCTGCTCCAGTCCTGGCCCTGCCCGTCTGCTGAGCCCTCTGGCAGGGCCCTCTCCTCCAGTCTCCCACAGGGGACATCCTGCTGCTCCATACTCTTCCTCGCTTCCCAACCTGTCAAAACACTGTTTCATTTATCTGGCTACCAAACTTTCTGTCCTGCAGGTATGAGGACCACGGTCCTGAATGTTCTAGCGGAGACCTGGCCAGTTCTGCTGCTCCACAGTGGGCTGGGGAGACGTTGTGGGGTAACAGATCCTGCGTTTACTCTCACACAGGTGTGGTGGGTGTTATAATGCAGGGGAAAGACCTGAGAGTACAGATCAAGGTGGAGCACTAGCAAAACCACACCTGGCTCTAAAGATCAAGGTGGAGCACTGGCAAAACCATACCTGGCCCTACAGAACAAGGTGGAGCACTGGCAAAACCACACCTGGCTCTAAAGATCAAGGTGGAGCGCTGGCAAAACCATACCTGGCCCTACAGAACAAGGTGGAGCACTGGCAAAACCACACCTGGCTCTAAAGATCAAGGTGGAGCACTGGCAAAACCACACCTGGCTCTAAAGATCAAGGTGGAGCACTGGCAAAACCATACCTGGCCCTACAGAACAAGGTGGAGCACTGGCAAAACCACACCTGGCTCGAAATATCAAGGTGGATCACTGGCAAAACCACACCTGGCTCTTTTCACTTTTCTCGGAAACAGAACACAGGAAGTCGCTATCACTGGCCAGTTAAAGCTGTAAAACCTGCTACCCAGTAAAGCGGTAAATATAAGCTGCAGTTCATTCTACTGGTTTTAACCATAAAACAAACAGAATTTTAGATCAAAGTAGTTTTTGAGTTGTCATTCCTTCCAGGACAAAGATACTTGACACTCAGAGAAAACACTCAGTGTCACATGACTAATGGATCCTGCAGAAACACACAAAGTGACAGCAGAGAGCAAGGCCAGCACGGGGCCGGGGAGGCGTCACACAGCAGTGACAGTTTCATTGAGATGCCTCTGCATTTGCTACTATGCTAGAGTCCTTATTCAAGGCAATTATCACCATGCTAGCAGAGTGTCAGGGCCACTCACAGCCTCACTGTAGGACGAGGAGAGCTCAAAGTGCAGCATATAATTTAAATAAAAAATTAGCTAGTGCTAGCACAACAGATAGGAGCAGCACTGCCTGAGTGTATCAATCCAAGGCAAAAAAGGCCAGATGGCAAAAAAGCAAAGCACTGTTACTTCAAACCCACAACTCCATGGTGCTGGGGGCTCACTGCTTAGGATGAATATGAAAGTTACCAGCTAGGTGGTGGGCAGGTATTGAAGGGGACACCCCCCATGTCCTAGTGACACACGCTTCTTCTAAATCACAGTGCACCTTCAGCTGGTACAGCTGTGGTCATGGAAATAGCATAGGCATTGAGGCATTTGTCTATGCTTTACTACAGTGAAATAAACTGGATCTTATTGTACACTAACAAGTAAACTTTAGGCAATATTTTGATATCTGTTAACAGAAAGCTTTTTGTTAATATACATTTAAAACAAACTAATTAAGTATAATTAGCTAGAGACCATGTTCATAGACTACCTGCGCCAATACTGCAGCGAAATTAACCGGGACAAGAAACAGAAAGCAGGGGAACCCCCCCCCCCCCAGCTCCGAAAACCGCTGACACTTTAAAGTCCCTGAGTGCTTGCTTAAGCGCATTAAATAGCACGGCGCAGCTCACAGAGCCGGCACGAGTTGTACTAAGTCCGCCTGGTCATACAGTTTGCAGCTGGGGGGGGGGGGTAGTACCTAGGTACCGAGGACAGGTATGTAACGGCCTGTTTGATCAGGAAGTGAGGGAGCGAAATGTTAAATATGGGCATCCCCACACTGACAGCTACAGGGGCGTGTAACCAGAGCGGCCGGAGGCGGTGCAGGAGGGGTACGGGGGGATCGGGAAGCGAGAGAAGCCGTGCGGGGGGAGTCTGTCAGGCTGCAGCTGCCGCCGTAGCCTCTGTGCCTACGGCCAAATGTCAACAGCGCGTACGCCGAATACGACCGGTCCCCGCAAGCGATAATATAAAGGCACTCACCGCTTCAGGGCTGACACGACACCCAGCTCCACCGCAGACTACATATGGAACACATTAACGCTTTTCTCGGCTCTCCAGCCTCAGTTTCAGTCGCTCCGAGGTGACACATCAACAAAGATGGCGACCGCAACGCGAATGGTTGGTGCCCATTCAGCCAATGGCAGCATCGCGCCTGGGTGACGTCACTGACAGATACCGCAATCTTGCCGAGGCCGACCGGACGAAGCAGTGTGGCCAATGCGTGGCCACGTGTGCTGAGCCGACCAATGAGCAATGAGTGTCGCACTAACGTCACTGACAGATTTAAAGAGCATACTAATAGAAGTTGACGACCGCTAGCAATACGATAGGCCGTTTTGTCACAAAGTTCCGTAACAAAAAAGTGGGAAAATAAGAGTGTAAAAAGACGTCAGGGAGATTTGAAAATAAGGCAGCTATGTCTATGTGACACAAGTGTGTGTGTGTGTATATATATCTGTGTTGCCTGTTAACCCAGTCACAATCCCACTAGCTCTCTTTCCTCCCGCAGAAGATCCGCATGTCTCTCCCACTGTCGTCGCTGCCGGTCTCGTGAAGCTGTGTAACTTTTGTGCCCAGCAAGGTCAGCTCATTCTCACTTTGAAGCAGTGCTCTCAGTGAGGTCAGTTCATGCTCTCTGTGAAGCAGTGCTCTCAATGTGGTCAGGTCATGCTCTCCGTGAAACAGCACTCTCTGTGGTCAGCTCATGCTCACAGCGAAGCAGTGCTTTCTGTTCAGTCAGCTCATGCTCACAATGAAGCAGCGCTTTCAGTGTGATTAACTTATGGCCGCAGAGAAGCAGCGCTTTCAGTGTGGTCACCTCATGCTCACAGTGAAGCAGCGCTCTCTGTGGTCAGCTCATGCTCACAGTGAAGCAGCGCATTCAGTATGGTCACAGTGAAGCAGCGCTTTCAGTGTGGTCAGCTCATGCTCATAGTGAAGCAGCGCCTTCAGTGTGGCATGTCTCACGTACAGGGGTTGTGAAAGCCTGTGTCAGTGTTTATAACTAATCAGTACCCCTGCACCTTTCACACAACGTGAGCCTGGGGTGATGGAGGGTAATATGAGTTATTCTGTATGGTTTGTTTTTCTATGCACATTGATACTTTTAAAGCTGTGAGGTTCTTGGCAGACTGTCAGGGAGCCTCTGATTGGTTCTCTTGTGCTACTGCTCCGTGACATGCCAGGCCAAGGACTGGGCCGCACACCGACATGTGTGCAAGCCAGAGACACCAGAGCGGTCCCCATGGTAACCAGGCAGACATCTGGATTTAGCCATATACTCCTCTGTGCTTCAGGCTGTGATAACACAGGTTTAACCCTCTGGAGTCTAGGGGTAGGGAAGACACTTTCACTGACTGGGGCATGGTCACACATTTCATTCAATATCATAAACTTAATTCATGGCAAATTATTTCTTATTTGTTTTGGCATAAAACTCATCTTAATCTTAGTGTACTTTGTAAATATGTCAGATGTATGTAAAGTTTGTAATTTGACATCAAAGTATAGACATTGCAAAATGCAGTTTGGAACACTTGCAGAAACATTATAAAAGTACATCGGAAGCAATGGTGGAAGTTTCTTTTGATCCCAGATATCTGATCACCAAAGTCTTGGTTACATGAAGATGACTAACTCTACCCATCTGAGCCACAGCCCTTGATAACACAGGTTTAATTTCTTTTGAAAGTGAGGAACCCCAGGAGCTGCTAGCCTTACCTAGCACAGCCAGTTCCAGGAGCCTGCTGCCCAGGGTAAGGGGCTCTTTCACAGTGACCTGATGGGGGGCTGCTTTGCTGTGTAAGGGCCACATCGTATGGCATGCTTCCCACAGGGTGATGTAGGGGTGGCCAGTCCCCTGCAGAAACTCTCATACGAGGAGCACAGATTCAGGTTCATTTGCTTTCTTACCTGTGTAAATCACATGAGGGTTACCTCTGATTGAGTATTCGAGCCTTGTTCTGAGTCAGCCTCTGTAATCAATTAATCAGGCCTTGTGTTGTTTAGGCCACTGTAGTGGAGCTCAGGAACCCTGGGAAGTTTTTCATCCACGTTGAGTCGAAGGCTGTGATGGAGTCCCTGCGGAGCGTGACGGTGACGTTGCAGAAGATGTATGCGGGCTCGACAGGCACAGACTACATGCCAGACTGCGGAGAGGCCTGTGCTGTGATGTACTCCCAGGACCGAGTGAGAACACACCTACCTGGCCTCTCTTTGCTTCTCATTGGCTCAGTAGCTTGTCCTTTCCTAATGCAATTCTGGATTTGTGTAAGAGTGCCCTCTAGAGATGCCTTTGTGAACTATGTATTTATGAATTCTCCTTAAGCTGGGATAGTACCACCATCATAGCTGTAGAATGTCTCGGAATCTGTTGTACCTGGTATATGAGGACATGTGGACCCCCCCAGAACTGGTATAGAGGTGTGGTGCAGTCTGTGGACGTCTCTCAGAAAACCGCCATGGTTTTCTACATGGACTACGGCAATGAGGAGGTTGTGCCATTGGACAGGATCAGACCGCTGGCCTCCTGTGTGGATCGCATCCCACCATGCGTGAGTAAAGCCCTCCGCAGATACTTGTACTGCATAAAGAAGCTGCCGTGGGAATCCCTGTGATGCCCCCCCCCCCCGTACATCCATAGTGCTTGCAGTCTTCCTGGTGGAGAGTAGCACCTGCTTTGGGGCTGGGTCTAGCGGTGATACACACAGTGCTGTGCTGCTGTGTGCAGGCGGTCCATTGTCAGGTAGCAGGTGTTACCGTGGTGACGGGCGGCTGGCCGGAGGAGTGCAGCGTCGCCGTCAGGCAGCTGGTGGCAGGGAAGAGCCTGGCTGTGACTGTGGTGGACAAACTGGACGGGGGGCCCTGGGCGGTGGACATGGAGCTGACCGCTGTTGGTAAGGCAGGGCAGGTCCTTCGGGGTGAGAAAGACATGGACGGCATTGAAAAGCAGACGCTGGCCATGGGCTGAAACTCTGCTCCCACAGGCAGCAAGCTCAGCATGTTTCTGGTGGAAAACGGCTATGCCACCATGGAGCCGCGAGGCCAGGACATCGGTAAGGGCGCCCCCTGTCTTCTGGGTAGGGGTGTGACGGTACCCAAAATTTCGGTACGTACCTTGGCTTTGAAGTCATGGTTTGGTACGTTTTCGTACAGCAGGGTAAAAGACACAAACATAAGTTGCTTCTCTTTATCTTTACTAAACGGTGGTTTACTGAACAAACTATGACTGTCTTAAATGAAAAGCCTCTGTGAATACTGCTGCAACCTAGTGATAAGTAACGTTACTTAAAAGTAAATCAAAATAAATATTCTCTCAAGTAAATAAAAATAAAATTAATGTCCATTAAGGTGCACATTTAGAAAATTAACTGTACCTGATATGTACTGTATTCACATTAGTAGCTTTCAGCTTCATATTTGAAATGTGCAACACAAATATTGTCTGCAGAGCATAACAAAATAAATATCCATTAAGGTGCAGCATTTAAAAAATATACCTGTGCTGTACTGTATTCACATTAACAGCTTCACATTAGGACGTACGCGCGCATGCGTAGTGGTGCGGCTTCACCCGCCCCTTTCCGAACGTTGCTCGCAGGAATCACAAACACACAAAGGTTACGCATTTGCTGCATTTTTCGGTAGAGAAATGCGTACCGTTACACTCATACTTCTTGGAGGACTTTGCGCTAAATGTCTAGTTTTTCACACATTTAAGCAGTTCAATATTTTCTGAGACAGGGTAATGGACCTTAACGCAAGTTAAGTAAGTAATTTTATCTGAGTAAAGGCTAATTCATACTTCATGTTTCCACATGTGGTTTCTGTTGCGGATGAGGGAATATGTCGTAAAATCAGGGCTTGGCTGCGGACAGCTGCTGTCTGCATGTGTAGCCCAGGGTTTTATGTCTAGCAAAAACCTTGCACATCCGTGCACATCGACTACACCTGTGCAAGATAATTCATTGTGTATTTCCAGTAGGTGGCAGTGTGGACTTTTACAGATCAGCAGTCAACGACAAAAGAGTAGAGGAAGAATAGTTGTTGTAGTTATGGTGAGCAGCTGTATGAGGAGGGTCAATGTACTCCCATATCTAATTTTTCATACTGTCCAGACATTATATGGTATTTAAAAAAAAAAACACTACTCTGGCACTGTGAAATCTTGGCAATAAAATTCGCTAAGCTGGGGAGTGGGATGCCGACTGAAAAACTCTGGTATGCCTTATTACCGTAATACTGCCCAAGCCTTGACTAATTATTTTAAAACTATTCATAAAAGTTTACCCATTTCTCTCTCTCTCTCTCACACACACACACACACACCGTAACCATCCGAATCCACAGCCTGAAAGCACATGGGGAAGAGTGAAGTAAGCAGTGGCCTGTCTGATTCCACGTTCCTGGGTTGTCGTTCATGGTCAAGACCCTCCTGTCTGCCTTTATTGCAATGACAATGGCAGTGACCTATGGAGTCTCAGCATTGGGCGTGCCTGTGTTTTGATTGACAGAGGCAGTGACCTATGGAGTCTCAGCATTGGGCGTGCCTGTGTTTTGATTGACAGCAGCAGTGGAGCCCAAGGAGGAGTTGCGCTGGACAAATGCAGAGACACCAGAACCCCACAGAGTTCTTCTGCCACCAAAGCAGCTCCCAAGGTGCTGTGTGGGTGCTTGTGCTAGAGTACAGGGGCCACATTTGGTAGCTGCAAGGTCGCTAACGGAGCTTTGGGCTGCTGACTTGGCTTCCAGGCACTCGCACCCTGGCAGCGCTGATGGCTGACCTGGCAAAGCACAGTCAGAGCAGTGACGCCGCCCTGGTGGCCAGTGTGGGACGGCCCTGCTGTGCCCAGTTCCCAGGTGCTGTAAGATCTTTGCCCCCTCCGTCATGTGGGAGAGCCGAGCCGAGCCCTGGGTGCAATCCCAGGCGGCGTTACTCTCGTACACTTCGTTAATAGAGAGTACATGACCTGTCAGATAAACGCTTCATTGAAATGTTGCCCATAGCTGATTATGTATCAGTCTGCAGTGTTGTTACTGGACTCTCACTGGTTCCATGTGGCCCAGGTGACAAGTTCTGGTACCGGGCCATGGTCCAAAGCATTTTGCCAGATGGGAAGGTGGAGGTGTTCTTTGTGGACTATGGGAACACCTGCGTTGTGGACCGGGCCGAGCTCAGGAGCATCCGGCCTGAACACCTGAAGGTTCCCTCTCAGGCTCTGCGGTGCTGGCTTGCAGGTTTGGGTCTGTCTGTCTATGTGTGTGTGTTTTGGTGCGTGTGTGTGTGTATGTGTGTCTTGGTGTGTTTGTGTGTCTTGTGTGTGTGTGTGCAAACGCATGGGTTCTCAGGATGCACTGTAATTTGGCACCTGAAAAACCAGGTGTCACACTTCTGTAAAAAGCTTAAGAAAAAAGATTGCATGAGGTAGGATGGTTTGCGTGATTGAGGTTTATTGCAAAAAGGAACGGAACTGGGAATTCAGGAACTTGAGGGGTCTTGGAGTAAGCCAGTGTTTATGCCATAAAATCACCTTCTTTCCCTCCCCCCACCTGCAGTCTGTCTGCGAGGGGAAAACAGCATGAATACATGCCGCATGAGTAAAGCTGTGAGGAGCAGCTCGAGCTGTGATGAGACTGGGCTGCTGGCCCTCAGAATCCCATAATTCCCTCCTCTGCGGCAATAACCCGCAATTCTAGAAAGCTACTAATATTATGTCTGTCTTGAGATAACAGTTCTCTGTGTCTGGGGCCCCCTGGGCTCATGCCATGGGGAAGGGAGGGGAGTGTGCTGGAGGGGGAGGCATTCCTGAGGGGGATTTATCAAATGATCAGCGTTATGCTTTTAAATAAAGATCTGTGTGTCATGCCATTGTAAGTCACTAGGGGCAGCCACCCCATGTTTAACATCTTTGACATGACCGACTGACTGTCATGTGACTGGAGTCAGGGCGTCCAGGGTGGTGTGCTGGCTCTCCGGTGTCGTTCCCGTCAGCATGGGAAAGGTTCTGTGACTGGTCTATTTGGGTTCGCGGCCACTGATTCCCCATGTGACCTTAGGTGATAAGAAGTGGTACAGAGCTGTCGTCCTGGAAGTTGGTGACTCTGAGGCGAAAGTCGTTTACGCGGATTACGGGAACACTGAGCGCGTGCCGCTCTCTGGCCTCCAGCCCATCACGAGCGCCCACCTGGACCCGCCATTCCGGATCGTCCGGTGTGCACTCACAGGTCAGCAGGGGGTGTGGCTTGCACCCGGGGCGGCTTTGTGGGGTGCTCAGCAGGTGGGGGTCATGGACTAAACCATGGTGGCCGTCTGTCACTCACACCTGCTGTGAGGTTCGTCTGGCTTCAGGCCCTTGACCGTGTTGCGTGTGACCGCTCGGGCTGAACACGGTCCCTCCTGCAGGGATGGTGCCCTTGCCCAGCCCGTGGCTTGCCTCCGCAGGGAGACGCTTTGAGTTGCTGCTGGATGCTCCCGTCCTGGCCTGTGCCCATGGCTTTGACGGTACCTACAACCTGCTGACCATGACCAGCCATGGAGAAAAGGGTAACGTTCATATCAACTCCGCGCTGAAGGACAGCTTGGTGGAGGAGGAGGGGCCTGCCGTCGGTCCCAGCGAGTGGGAGTCTGCTGCTGGACCCAGAGACGCAGCCTGTGTTCCCAGAGGTAATGAGCCCATTCAGGGCTGGAGTCAAACTCTCAGAGGTCACCTGGATCTGCCAGATAGACCAGAGAGCTTTGGTTCCGGTCTTAACCCTCCGGCACTATTGCAGCAGAGTGGGTGTGTCCCTCCTGTAGCTTGTAGGAGGGACAGGAGACCTTTATTGCTTGTATCTTTGTGAGTTTTTCAAAACTAATTTGTATTCTTAGGCTGCCTGGATAAGGTAATGGGAAAAGATGGGGCTAAAGCTGACATCCAGCAGGAAACCGGCAGGGAGGAAGCAGAGCTGGTCTCAGGCGTCTGCAATGGTGACTGAATGTGACCGCGGCTCAGGCCAGACCGTGGTGTGAACGTGACTGCGGCTCGGGCCTGACCGCGGTTTGAACGTGACTGCGGCTCGGGCCTGACCGCGGTTTGAACGTGACCGCGGCTCGGGCATGACCGCGGTTTGAACGTGACTGCGGCTCGGGCCTGACCTGTTACTTTGTATTTTTCCTTGTTTTTCTTAATCTGTTAAATTGTGGTTTGCGGTTTCTTAAGTTATTAAAAGAGCTTAAAGCTGCAGTTGGTGTATTCATTCAAAATGGAAGTTTAGCTTCCACACAGTTACAAGCAGCACTGTGTGAGGTGAAATGTGTTATTACCAGCGCCAAGACTAGGGATATGGGGACATTCTAAAACGCTTAATGTGGCTTAATGTACCAAAATAGCGACCGATAATCACCATATTTCTCACACATATATCTGGTAATAAAGACTTTCACCTGACAAAAAAATCAAAACCAAAATGCTACGAATATGTACTTTATCTTACGTTAAGTGTTTTCCTCTCCATTGACGCCCATCATAAGGAAAAAGAAAACATTAAAAATGACAATAAAAAATAAATGTAATGGATTGTAAGGTGTTCACACACGCACACACACACACACACAATTATTTGCAGACACTCTTCTGACTACAGCAGGGGTGTCAAACTCAATCGCACAGGGGGCCAAATCTCAAAGCACACTTTAGGTCACGGGACGAACAGGATAAACATTTATTGAACAGACTAAAACTAAATGTTTTTCTTTGAACATAAATATGAATCGAAAGAGATAGGATACAATATTATTCCAAGATAAATTTTAACTTAACAAAATAACTTAAAATATTTTGATCTCCATAAAATTGTCTCCTGTCAGAATGATACAAATTCAAAATATGGAAAAAAAAAACCTGAAAATGTAAATAAAAATTACTCTTTTAAGTGAAAGTTAAAATAATAAATTAAACATTCCATTTTCTTTGCTCTGTCAGAGCTGAATGCTTGGCATCTTGGCAACAAGTTCGTTTATGTTTGGGGTATAAGGTTCTGTGTTGTGGAGATTCTCTCTCAGCCACATTAGCTCCACAAATAAGACACACGGGTTTACCGGCAATCTCAGTAAACAGATACCCATCCCATCGGTTTTGAAAGGAATTTTGTTTTCAGAATCAACTTTTCTCTTGGCGATTGTTAGGGGCTAGCTTTGACTTGAAATATAAAGGGTTATATACATAAACAGACGCTTGACTGATCTGACGTAATTGACGTGGTAGCCTATCGTTCGGTAAAACAGCTGTTGCGCTGCATTATGGGATTTGTAGTTTGTGTGTTATCGGCGCTTCATATGGCCGGGCCATTAAAAAAATATATATATAAAATGTTCTTGCGGGCCGGGTATAATTGTACCTTTAGTTTGACATGTGCCATAGCTCTTGCCATTTTAAATGTACTTCATATATACATGAACTGCACAACGATTTTAAAAGATCCGCTTGTTACCACCAAGTGACGCTGTGCACATTGTGAGGAGTGTGGTTTCACAGAGGCATATAAATTTAAATCCTAAAGTTCAAATAAATTGTATTCCATGTAAAAAAATTACGTTTCTAATGTCGCACTTAGCAGACTTAGAGGCTGCTTAAACTGTGATCCATATTAGCGCATTGTTCCAATCTCATTAGTGGTCCAGTGTTTCAGATGAAGGTCTACTTGTTTTGATTTAAGTGATTTGTTAAAACTTTCATCAAACATAGTTACAAAGCTGTCGTCATTCACAGCTGACCTCAGCTCACGTTGAACGAACAGTACAATACCGAACCTAGATATATACACGGTCTTATCCCTCCCGCAGGTGAACGACTTTACTGTCTGAATCTGGAAACATCGATTGAAACGCTTTGTGTATTTCACTATTGGCTTTGTCTGAATGATGTTGGCTCACCGTGTATAGAGACCAAAGCGCTTCGGCTTTAAGTGTTCGGCTTTGCTCTTGTTGAAAACCCAGAAAAAAATGTCGAACACGATACTTCCGAAGCTGTAACTTCGGCGGTGGTTTGAGCTTCCAAAGTAGCATCTGGCAGACTAGGCCCAAAATTAACGTAGCTCTGAATGGGTAGTGAAGTCTTCTTTGAGGACTCATAGCGTTTGTGTTGGACGCACGATGTGTCTCGACCGCTTGAATACCCATACTACCCAATTTATAGGTATTCTTGCACTACAAGCATTTAAAACCATGTGGGTCTGTAGAACGTTGCAGCCAACCTGCATACTTGTCATTGTCTGTCCAATTCTCATTAAATTTGCATTTCCCCATGTTGTCAACGGATAGTACTGACGCAAACTACAATGCTAACGTCCACTAGTTTACGCCGAACCCGTGAAATGAAAATGAGCTTGCGCAGGCTATATACACATATATATACACACACCTTTACCAACCATAGATATCAAGATACCCTAGATCGGCGGAGAGCAGTGTTTTGATATCTGTGTGCTACGCAAGTCACAACATGCGCGGGCATCGTGGCAATAATAAACATGGCATGCAAGCTCGGAGGTCATATGATTCTATAAACATTTATGATTTTATTAAATATTACACCATATGTGATGGGGTTTAATTTAAGACTACATGCCAGAAAAAAAATAATACTTAAGACATTTTATGACCTCAAATTCGGCAATTCTAAAATAAGACGTTTTAATGATCCGCGGGAACCCTGCTTACAGTATTCATGTGTTCTTCCCTTAAGTTACTGCAGTAGCAAATATGCGCTGTCACTTTGTAAGAAATAAAGACGTCTTGTATTTCTTAACGTTAAATTGGTTTTGTCAGGGTCAGCTCCTATTGTCTGTCTTTTGTGTCCCTTCACTGTTTGGCCAGCAGGCGTCGCTGGCCATCTTGTCAGCTGCATGGAAATGAAACATTTGTACTTTTCAGCATTAAGAAGAATGGCCTCTATTTCAGCCAAACTCTCTTTTTTGCATGAGACAATTTCTCAGTTCGTTACCACAACTGTAAAGTAGTAGAATTTTAATGGAAAACAATGGCCAGTGACTTTGCTGCTTTATTGTATATAGTTGTACTGTATGCAAGTTAGGTTTCTTATTTGTATTTGTTGTGTTATAATCAATTAAGTAAAACAAAAATACTAAAGTATTTGCAATATAATATAGGCTATGACTGTGGTCAGCTAATAAAATATTAATTTAATATAGCCTTTAAAATGACTGTTGAGAGATGAGAGATCCATTGGATGAGAGAATTTGGCGAATTGTAAAAATATAACTGTTGCAATATTCTTGTGTATACATAATTACTATTGTGTATATAACAACTATTATAACTATTACAAATGACTAGTAAAATGTTAATCTCAAGTGGCTGTTAAAAGACGAGCCCTGAAAAAGGGCATTGGACTGAAGTTGAATTTGCACTGCTAATTTGTAGAGAATTCCGGGACGCTGTGAACAGGAAGACCGTAGCTAAGTCTTAAACAGTTGAGTCCGTTATTTCAAATTACAGCACTTAATTCCATTGGCCCTTCTGGGTGTTTTATTTTTTGAGATTGGCCAAAATATAGGGAAGCCGTGTGAACTTAAATTAGAATTTTAATGCTGAAAGTCTTTATTACCAGATACGTGAGAAATATGGTGATTATCGGTCGCTATTTTGGTACATTAAGCCACATTAAGCCTTTTCACATTAAGCGTTTTAGAATGTCCCCATATCCCTAGTCTTGGCGCTGGTAATAACACATTTCACCTCACACAGTGCTGCTTGTAACTGTGTGGAAGCTAAACTTCCATTTTGAATGAATACACCAACTGCAGCTTTAAGCTCTTTTAATAACTTAAGAAACCGCAAACCACAATTTAACAGATTAAGAAAAACAAGGAAAAATACAAAGTGACAGCGCAGATTTCCTACTGCAGTGACTTGTGGGAAGAACACATGAATACTATAAGGCTGTAAACAGAGCTACTGAACAGCACTAAAAGAGACCCCGGCTCATGCAGTGTCTCTGCACACGTACTTTATTCGGCGTTCAGGGCTTTGGTGAGAAGCCCATCTGCTTCACTATCACCAGGAGCAGAGCTTCGATCTGGTCAACCTGCAACACATGGTCCAGATGTGAGACAGCCAGCCGTGGAGCCGACCCCACAGTCAGGCCCGAGCCGCGGTCACGTTCACACCACGGTCAGGCCCGAGCCGCAGTCACGTTCACACCACAGTCAGGCCCGAGCCGCGGTCACGTTCACACCACGGTCACGTTCACACCACGGTCTGGCCTGAGCCGCGGTCACATTCAGTCACATTCTCACCTTCTGCTTCAGATCACCACAGCAGCATGAGCTCAGTGCAGTCCGGGTTGGTTCTGTAGGAGACAATGCTGGTTAATAAGGCTGCCCCTGCCCAGGGCGTTTGCACAGCCTGCCCTGGGACATTTGAAGCTACACACCATTGCAGACGCCTGAGACCAGCTCTGCTTCCTCCCTGCCGGTTTCCTGCTGGATGTCAGCTTTAGCCCCATCTTTTCCCATTACCTTATCCAGGCAGCCTAAGAATACAAATTAGTTTTGAAAAACTCACAAAGATACAAGCAATAAAGGTCTCCTGTCCCTCCTACAAGCTACAGGAGGGACACACCCACTCTGCTGCAATAGTGCCGGAGGGTTAAGACCAGAACCAAAGTTCTATCCGGCAGATCCAGGTGACCTCTGAGAGTTTGACTCCAGCCCTGAATGGGCTCATTACCTCTGGGAACACAGGCTGCGTCTCTGGGTCCAGCAGCAGACTCCCACTCGCTGGGACCGACGGCAGGCCCCTCCTCCTCCACCAAGCTGTCCTTCAGCGCGGAGTTGATATGCACGTTACCCTTTTCTCCATGGCTGGTCATGGTCAGCAGGTTGTAGGTACCGTCAAAGCCATGGGCACAGGCCAGGACGGGAGCATCCAGCAGCAACTCAAAGCGTCTCCCTGCGGAGGCAAGCCACGGGCTGGGCAAGGGCACCATCCCTGCAGGAGGGACCGTGTTCAGCCCGAGCGGTCACACGCAACACGGTCAAGGGCCTGAAGCCAGACGAACCTCACAGCAGGTGTGAGTGACAGACGGCCACCATGGTTTAGTCCATGACCCCCACCTGCTGAGCACCCCACAAAGCCGCCCCGGGTGCAAGCCACACCCCCTGCTGACCTGTGAGTGCACACCGGACGATCCGGAATGGCGGGTCCAGGTGGGCGCTCGTGATGGGCTGGAGGCCAGAGAGCGGCACGCGCTCAGTGTTCCCGTAATCCGCGTAAACGACTTTCGCCTCAGAGTCACCAACTTCCAGGACAACAGCTCTGTACCACTTCTTATCACCTAAGGTCACACGGGGAATCAGTGGCCGCGAACCCAAATAGACCAGTCACAGAACCTTTCCCATGCTGACGGGAACGACACCGGAGAGCCAGCACACCACCCTGGACGCCCTGACTCCAGTCACATGACAGTCAGTCGGTCATGTCAAAGATGTTAAACATGGGGTGGCTGCCCCTAGTGACTTACAATGGCATGACACACAGATCTTTATTTAAAAGCATAACGCTGATCATTTGATAAATCCCCCTCAGGAATGCCTCCCCCTCCAGCACACTCCCCTCCCTTCCCCATGGCATGAGCCCAGGGGGCCCCAGTCACAGAGAACTGTTATCTCAAGACAGACATAATATTAGTAGCTTTCTAGAATTGCGGGTTATTGCCGCAGAGGAGGGAATTATGGGATTCTGAGGGCTCTGAGAGCTGCTCCTCACAGCTTTACTCGTGCGGCATGTATTCATGCCGTTTTCCCCTCGCAGACAGACTGCAGAGTCACCATAATACAAGGGGGGTAAGGGCTCTCTGACATCGCTCTACCTTCTAACCACAGAAACAGCTTCACTGAGCTACACACCACTCTGCACACCGGTCTCACTCTACTGTGACACAAGGGCACCCCCCCCAATGCAGTCATTGGTCACTCAGTAAGAGGACATGCCCTACCTGAGAACTGGGCACAGCAGGCTGCCCCTGGCTCAGGCAGAGCATGAAGGTCTTGTGGACGGCGGCTGCAGTGCTCCTGTAGAGCCCCCATCAGGGTATGGAGTTTCTCTGCACTTACTGCTGACAGATAACCAAACGATTTCAGACAGTGACATTAATGTGCCACTGTGTGCATGTGTGTCTGTGTGCCTGCTCTCACCCTCAGTCTCGCCCAGCAGGTAGAAGTGCCCAGGGCTCAGCACCCCAGCCACACGCGCCTGGAACGTTTTGTTCTGCTGCAGCTGGGCTGTCTGCCAGCCTGTGGGGAAGGAGGCGACCAGCGGGACCGCAGCAGCGTCGCTTTGGGCCGAGCCCTTGTCTGCTCACATGGGTCAGACACACCGACGTACAGCTATCAGCCTGGGCATACCTAGAACCCGCACCACCAGAAATGGTCCAACAAGGGCTGCTCACCTGAAGCGCCAGAGAGCCCACTCCCAGGGGTGGAACTGGCCAGCCCCTCGGCCACCAGCAGGGTGGCGATACTGAGACCATCGTGCAGCAGCTCCATGCCATAGCCCCTCTCAGTGACATGAAGAGCCCTGCCCTGCAGATGGGTGCCCACACAAAAGGCCCGGAACTTCTGCAGAGCCTTGGCCGACCACTGCCTCCCCAGGGGCTCCACACCTGGGTGGGGGAGGGAAAGAAGGTGATTTTATGGCATAAACACTGGCTTACTCCAAGACCCCTCAAGTTCCTGAATTCCCAGTTCCGTTCCTTTTTGCAATAAACCTCAATCACGCAAACCATCCTACCTCATGCAATCTTTTTTCTTAAGCTTTTTACAGAAATGTGACACCTGGTTTTTCAGGTGCCAAATTACAGTGCATCCTGAGAACCCATGCGTTTGCACACACACACACAAGACACACAAACACACCAAGACACACATACACACACACACGCCCCAAAACACACACACATAGACAGACAGACCCAAACCTGCAAGCCAGCACCGCAGAGCCTGAAAGGGAACCTTCAGGTGTTCAGGCCGGATGCTCCTGAGCTCGGCCCGGTCCACAACGCAGGTGTTCCCATAGTCCATAAAGAACACCTCCACCTTCCCATCTGGCAAAATGCTTTGGACCATGGCCCGGTACCATAACTTGTCACCTGGGCCACATGGAACCAGTGAGAGTCTAGTAACAACACTGCAGACTGATACATAATCAGCTATGGGCAACATTTCAATGCAGCGTTTATCTGACAGGTCATGTACTCTCTATTAACGAAGTGTACGAGAGTAACGCCGCCTGGGATTGCACCCAGGGCTCGGCTCGGCTCTCCCACATGACGGAGGGGGCAAAGATCTTACAGCACCTGGGAACTGGGCACAGCAGGGCCGTCCCACACTGGCCACCAGGGCGGCGTCACTGCTCTGACTGTGCTTTGCCAGGTCAGCCACCAGCGCTGCCAGGGTGCGAGTGCCTGGAAGCCAAGTCAGCAGCCCAAAGCTCCGTTAGCGACCTTGCAGCTACCAAATGTGGCCCCTGTACTCTAGCACAAGCACCCACACAGCACCTTGGGAGCTGCTTTGGTGGCAGAAGAACTCTGTGGGGTTCTGCACCACGGTGACCATGACATCCACCAGCTCTCCGTCAGCAGGCAGCTCTGCATTTGTCCAGTGCAACTCCTCCTTGGGCTCCACTGCTGCTGTCAATCAAAACACAGGCATGCCCAATGCTGAGACTCCATAGGTCACTGCCTCTGTCAATCAAAACACAAGCAAGCCCACATTAAGAGCTTTAAAACTACCAGGGGGACTGGGAGCCTTGTCATCCTGGCCCGGAATGTGCCCTCCACTGTCATAGAGGGCATATCCGGTGGTGACCAGGAACTCGGCCACACAGATTGCGGGGTCGCTGCCCTCATCCAGGAGGGACACGAGTGCGGTGCTGCTCCTCTGTCCCAGGACTTTCATCTGTAGAAAGCGGTTGCAGACGATCTTCCTCAGCATCACAACAGATGCCTCGGTCCAGGTGTCTGAGAGCGGCTTCATACCTGCAGGGGCCCAGTAAGGAGAAATCGAAAGCTGAATCCCCTCCGAAGAGGATGAGGGGCACTGGCAGTGGAGCTGGGGGGTCAGGGTTGGAGTCAGACCTGCCAGGGCGCAGGGGATGGCCTGCGTGGGCAGCCTGAGGAGCTCAGGCCCAATGGGCCGCAGCTGGTCCAGATCCACCTCCTCCGAGTTGCCGAAGTCGATGTAGCCCACACAGACGTGCTGCTCCGTGGAGTAACCCAGAACCTTGGCTCGGTACCACTGGCTGTCCTCTGAGAGATGCAGACTATCAGCTGGGGCTCAAGGGACAGGCTGGGATTGAGCTGCGTGCCAGGCCGCCTTGGGAAGGCCTCACCTGAGAAGCGGCAGCAGCAGACGGAGCCGGGGGCAGGCCGGAAATCTGGGTCGGCGGCCGTTTGCATGCAGTGCTCCCGCAGTTTCTGCTGCAGCTCCTGGATCGCACCTGCAACAGCCGGCTTACTCTCACACCGAGACCAGGACAACTGTGGCGAACCCTGGGTGACAGAGCAATACTCACCAGCATTGTCCAACTTCTGGCATATGAGGTCTTCGGGGGACCGCAGGTGGGTAACTACGACGGAGAAGACGTCCCCCACGCCCTGTGTCAGCGGGCTGGGGAGACACGACTCCATGTTCTCGTTCTTGCCAGCTGAAGATTTCTTGAAGTTGTCCAGAGCAGCAGATAGAATGGAGTCTGGAATAAAGGCAGACAGGAGGGTCGTGACCATGAACGACAACCCAGGAACGTGGAATCAGACAGGCCACTGCTTACTTCACTCTTCCCCATGTGCTTTCAGGCTGGGGACGGTCGACTGCAGCAGCTTGTGTTCATATTACACTTGGCTGTGGATTCGGATGGTTACGGTGTGTGTGTGTGAGAAATGGGTAAACTTTTATGAATAGTTTAATCCTCTGGGGACGAGGGCATCATCGGCGATGCCGCATATCTTTCTCATGTATTTCAGTTCATAACTCGCTGAATTTTTTTGTAGAAACATGAAAACACTGACTAAATCGGTAACCTGTCTTCTTTTCAAAATGTCCATTGTCGGAAGTATTAAGGTTTTTAGAATTAGGTTAAATCAGCAAATAAAACATGTCACCTTTGTTTTACAGTAGCTGCATGGGGAGCGTGTAGTACCACCCTCACGTGAAGATCGCTATTTGCATTCTAAACAGCCACATCACCGCGTATTCAAATCGTATTCACATGGTAATTTGATGAACAATGCAATGGTGAAACGCGATCCAGATACATCCCCACCAGTGCCATAAAAGGGGGGGGGGGAGAATGAGGTCAGGTGTCAATGGCTCATGCATATACATGAGAGCTCCTACATATTCAATAGTGACATGAGTTAGATTTTTCTTATTTATTTATCCAACTGAATGTTGCAACTACACCACTTAATCATCTTCATGTAGCCAAGACTTCGATGATCAGATATCTGGGATCAAAACAAACTGCCACCATTGCTTAAAATGTACTTTTATGTTTTTTCTGCAAGTGTTCCAAACTGCATTTTGCAATGTCTATACTCTGATGTGAGATTACAAACATAAATCTGACATTTTTACAATATACATTAAAATGAGTGAATTTGCCAAAACAAAATCAATTATTTGCCATGAATTAAGTTTATGATATTGAAAGAAATGTGTGATCATGCCCTAGTCAGTGAAAGTCTTCCCTACCCGTAGACCCCAGAGGGTTAAAGTAATTAGTCGAGGCTTGGGCAGTATTACGGTAATAAAGCATACCAGAGTCTTTCAGTCGGCATCCCACTCCCCCGCTTAGCGAATTTTATTGCCAAGATTTCGAAATGCCAGTGTTGTTGTTTTTTTTTTTTAAATACCATATAACTGTCTGGTCAGTATGAAAAATTAGATATGTGAGTACATCCGACCCTTCTCATAAAGCTGCTCACCATAACTACAACAACTATTCTTCCTCTACTCTTTTGTCGTTGACTGCTGATCTGTAAAAGTCCACACTGCCACCTACTGGAAATACACAATCAATTATCTTGCACAGGTGCAGTCGATGTGCACGGATGTGCAAGGTTTTTGCTAGACATAAAACCCTGGGCTACAGATGCAGACAGCAGCTGTCCGCAGCCAAGGCCTTATTTAACGACATATTCCCTCATCCGCAACAGAAACATTAAGCATGAAATGGCCTTTACTCAAATAAAACTGCTTAACTTGCGTTAAGGTCCATTACTTTGTCTCAGAACTGCATAAATGTGTGAAAAATCAGCCAATTAGCTCAAAGTCCTCCAAGAAGTAGGAATGTAATGGTAAATGCATCTGTACCGAAAAATTTCAGTACGGGTCTTCCAGTTCAGTAAGCATATGTACCGAACAAATGCAGCAAATGCGTAACCTTTGTATGTTTGTGTTTCCCGCAAGCAACATTCAGAAAGGGGCGGGTGAAGCCGCACCAACATGCATGCACGCGTACGTCCTAATGTGAAGCTGTTAAAAAAAAAAAAAAAAATACCTGGCTGTACTATATTAAATGCTGCACCATAATGGATATTTGTTTTGTTATGCTTTGCATTTTTTGAGACAATATTTGTGTTGCACAGTTCAAATATGAAGCTGAAAGCTACTAATGTGAATACAGTACATATCAGGTACAGTTAATTTTCTAAATGTGCACCTTAATGGACATTATTTTTATTTACTTGAGAGAATATTTATTTTGATTTACTTTTAAGTAGCGTTACTTATCACTAGGTTGCAGCAGTATTCACAGAGGCTTTTCATTTAAGACAGTCATAGTTTGTTCAGTAAACCACCGTTTAGTAAAGATAAAGAGAAGCAACTTATGTTTGTGTCTTTTACCCTGCTGTACGAAAACGTACCAAACCATGACTTCAAAGCCAAGGTACGTACCGAAATTTTGGGTACCGTCACACCCCTACCCAGAAGACAGGGGGCGCCCTTACCGATGTCCTGGCCTCGCGGCTCCATGGTGGCATAGCCGTTTTCCACCAGAAACATGCTGAGCTTGCTGCCTGTGGGAGCAGAGTTTCAGCCCATGGCCAGCGTCTGCTTTTCAATGCCGTCCATGTCTTTCTCACCCCGAAGGACCTGCCCTGCCTTACCAACAGCGGTCAGCTCCATGTCCACCGCCCAGGGCCCCCCGTCCAGTTTGTCCACCACAGTCACAGCCAGGCTCTTCCCTGCCACCAGCTGCCTGACGGCGACGCTGCACTCCTCCGGCCAGCCGCCCGTCACCACGGTAACACCTGCTACCTGACAATGGACCGCCTGCACACAGCAGCACAGCACTGTGTGTATCACCGCTAGACCCAGCCCCAAAGCAGGTGCTACTCTCCACCAGGAAGACTGCAAGCACTATGGATGTACGGGGGGGGGGGGGCATCACAGGGATTCCCACGGCAGCTTCTTTATGCAGTACAAGTATCTGCGGAGGGCTTTACTCACGCATGGTGGGATGCGATCCACACAGGAGGCCAGCGGTCTGATCCTGTCCAATGGCACAACCTCCTCATTGCCGTAGTCCATGTAGAAAACCATGGCGGTTTTCTGAGAGATGTCCACAGACTGCACCACACCTCTATACCAGTTCTGGGGGGGTCCACATGTCCTCATATACCAGGTACAACAGATTCCGAGACATTCTACAGCTATGATGGTGGTACTATCCCAGCTTAAGGAGAATTCATAAATACATATGCAAAGGCATCTCTAGAGGGCACTCTTACACAAATCCAGAATTGCATTAGGAAAGGACAAGCTACTGAGACAATGAGAAGCAAAGAGAGGCCAGGTAGGTGTGTCCTCACTCGGTCCTGGGAGTACATCACAGCACAGGCCTCTCCGCAGTCTGGCATGTACTCTGTGCCTGTCGAGCCCGCATACATCTTCTGCAACATCACCGTCACGCTCCGCAGGGACTCCATCACAGCCTTCGACTCAACGTGGATGAAAAACTTCCCAGGGTTCCTGAGCTCCACTACAGTGGCCTAAACAACACAAGGCCTGATTAATTGATTACAGAGGCTGACTCAGAACAAGGCTCAAATAACCAGTCAGAGGTAACCCTCATGTGATTTACTCAGGTAAGAAAGCAAATGAACCTGAATCTGTGCTCCTCGTATGAGCTCATTCTTGGGGAAGTCGCGCAGGTAGAGTTTCTGCAGGGGACTGGCCACCACTACATCACCCTGTGGGAAGCATGCCATACGATGTGGCCCTTACACAGCAAAGCAGCCCCCATCAGGTCACTGTGAAAGAGCCCCTTACCCTGGGAAGCAGGCTCCTGGAACTGGCTGTGCTAGGTGAGGCTAGCAGCTCCTGGGGTTCCTCACTTTCAAAAGAAATTAAACCTGTGTTATCAAGGGCTGTGGCTCAGATGGGTAGAGTTAGTCATCTTCATGTAACCAAGACTTTGGTGATCAGATATCTGGGATCAAAAGAAACTTCCACCATTGCTTCCGATGTACTTTTATAATGCTTCTGCAAGTGTTCCAAACTGCATTTTGCAATGTCTATACTTTGATGTCAAATTACAAACTTCACATAAATCTGACATATTTACAAAGCACACTAAGATTAAGATGAGTTTTATGCCAAAACAAATAAGAAATAATTTGCCATGAATTAAGTTTATGATATTGAATGAAATGTGTGACCATGCCCCAGTCAGTGAAAGTGTCTTCCCTACCCCTAGACTCCAGAGGGTTAAACCTGTGTTATCACAGCCTTAAGCACAGAGGAGTATATGGCTAAATCCGGATGTCTGCCTGGTTACCATGGGGACCGCTCTGGTGTCTCTGGCTTGCACACATGTCGGTGTGCAGCCCAGTCCTTGGCCTGGCATGTCACGGAGCAGTAGCACACCCTCTTACACCGTATGCAGCGGAGGTTCCCTGTAAACAGTAAACTGGTGAAATCAACAATGTGACAAGAACCAATCAGAGGCTCCCTGACAGTCTGCCAAGAACCTCACAGCTTTAAAAGTATCATATGTGCATAGAAAAACAAACCATACAGAATAACTCATATTACCCCCTCCATCACCCCAGGCTCACGTTGTGTGAAGGGTGCAGGGGTACTGATTAGTTATAAACACTGACACAGGCTTTCACAACCCCTGTACGTGAGACATGCCACACTGAAGGCGCTGCTTCACTATGAGCATGAGCTGACCACACTGAAAGCGCTGCTTCACTGTGACCATACTGAATGCGCTGCTTCACTGTGAGCATGAGCTGACCACAGAGTGGGCTGCTTCACTGTGAGCATGAGCTGACCACACTGAATGCGCTGCTTCACTGACCATACTGAATGCGCTGCTTCATTGTGAGCATGAGCTGACCACAGAGTGGGCTGCTTCACTGTGAGCATGAGCTGACCACACTGAATGCGCTGCTTCACTGTGACCATACTGAATGCGCTGCTTCACTGTCAGCATGAACTGACCACACAGAGCACTGCTTCAGTGTGAGAATGAGCTGACCTTGCTGGGCACAAAAATTACACAGCTTCACGAGACTGGCAGCGACGACGGTGGGAGAGACCTCCCTGCGGATATTCTGCGGGAGGAAAGAGTGTTACTGGGGTTGTGACTGGGTCAACAGGCAACACAGATACCTGTAGGGCATTATGAGCCTGCAAAGCGCAGAAAGGTGTCCATACTACTCACAGCACAACCATTTCCTGTGACTGAAGCAACTTTCTTCTCTGCATTTAGCTCCAGTCCTGGAGGATGGGAAAGTTCAGGCGTACAATAACCATACGTGAGGCAGAGTAAGAACAGAATTGACCGGTGTGTGTCTGTTTATGGCCCAGACCACACAGCTGTAAACGCCATACCAGCACTGAGACTACCCCAGGGGACCTTGGGCATGGTGCCGCAGACTGCCTGTAGCTCCAGATTCCCTTGCTCTCGCTGCTGGGCCACAGACACAGGGTTGGTTGTGGGTCTCTTCGGCGCCTTGAGATGCGCCTGAAGAAATGTGTTGTTCATGTTCCCAGCCAGCATCTTGACACGCCTCCTACACTAGTCTAAACAGAGAAGTGGGAATCACTCCTAACTCCTACCAGGCCACTCCCCTTTCACACACCCAAGACCTGCGTATCTATGATGCTGATGTGTTTGCAATCAGAGTCCAGTCACAGGGGTTTTTGAAAGAAATGTGATATGGACACAATATATCTTTCTTCACAGCTTTTTTTTTATACAACAGTTCAACTACCAAATGTATTTAACATAAAATCCCAGCACATAAAACCCAAAACAAAATCATGTATTCCTGCAATAATTAACTAAAAATAGTTCGTTCGACAAAGCAAGAAATAATTATTTGCTGGGTACCCTAATGCTAAAACAAAATAGAAAAATGGCCAGCTCCTCCTTACTGTCCCTCCCAAGGAGGACAAAAAAATGGAACTTTGTGCTTTTTCGGCGGAAAGGGGGAGGCAAAATGGCGGCGTGGTTTCTTGGTCGGCGGCTCGTCCTGGCAAGGGAGGCAGATTTTGGTAGCAAGAAAGTAGTAGTTTAGGCGCCACTAATGTCGGCGAGAACGTTCAGCTTTTCACCCCGCTCCCTCACAGCGAACAGTTCGCCAGTCTCTGCAGAACGTAATGGCGATATTACCAAAATATGCCTCACTCACTTAAAACATACAAGTGCAATTGTCAGGTAAGCTCAAAGAAAAAAATAACTATACAAAAGGCAAAAATTGCTTAAATAAAATAAAAGGACACACATAGGGTTAACAATGAAATAGCAGAATATGTGTATACATATATACAATATATACAATCCCACTGAAGACAGAAACTTCTAGAAAAAAAAATCAATTACCAAATATCATGTAGGTTACACATCAACACGTTCAAAACATTAATATTAAAATAACACAGGTATTGTGGCACCCGGAGTGTCTGTTCGTATCTCGGGATTTAATTTTTATAACGGGCTTGTACGTAATTCCTCGCACGCAGCGGCTAACCGTCTACTTAACTATTCATTGCATCTTATTAGACACTAATTTATTAATCAGAATTTTAACAGCACAGACACCATTTAAGTTACAAGCGGCAATTACAGCGGAAACTTTATTTCTAACCGTATAAAACATGTATAATCCCCACCGGGCCCGCTATCGTCATGCATGTGTAGCGGTCGGCGATTCGACTACAGCGGGCTCGCAGTAGCAGTTGTAAAGGCCGCAGTTTATTTTCAGCGCCAAATTCCAGCGGATTCTCACGGGAATTGTACATCGCGCAATACGGAGGTGTAACAGAAAGAGTATTCAAAATATAATATTCATACAGAATGAAATAAACAAAGTACTTCCCTGTTAACTTATAAGCAAATGAGATGTAATTAGAAATTACATCTAAATGCTGATTAGTCCTGCGTAACTATAATTTACAGCTAAAACACCATGTTAAACAATAATACCTCTCGAACATAATTCATAACCTTCCTAAAATAAATAGAAAAGTCAGCGACATACAGCCTCTCCTCAAATTACACTAATTGCGGAAAGAAGTTTATTACAAATTTTACCAAAGTTCCTTTTCGATGTACTAATAAGTTATAACGTGGGGGGGATATAATCAACACTACTAAAGGAGATTTTATTCCAGTAATTAAAGCAACAGGATTTACAAATTACCAATTCTTTTGGGTTAATGTTGGCGGAGCGCTGAATTGCACGTCTTACCAGCGTCAAATTCAACCGGATTCTGACGGGAATTGGCGGTGAAACTCAAAAAAATGCGTCGCTGATTGCTGCCACACCTACAACACTAAAGTAGGAACCTTTGTGGCGGAACCAAAGAGTACAAACTAGACTAACGAAATACATATGTAAGTATAAACCGTCACAAATAATACACGTGTCATAAATAAGTACATTTAAAATAAAATAAAAAAAACAAAGGAAGTTCATAAAATCAACAACTATACATTAACATGGCTACACATGCAGATAGTCCAACATTCACTGGATGATTAACTTAATAAGGACGGTAACCCGACCTGTATGGGGCCGAAGATGCGCTTCTACTTAGTACGTAAAGTAAGATATTTTGTGAGGTTATATTTAACCGAATATCTATTACCTTCCTGTTCACACCAAACTGCTGGTCTACCACGCGGACAGGTGACACGTGATCCCACAACCCACGTGGGGACTGGGGAGCACGCGCTGCCCCCGCCACTGCTACGTAGGACGGGGAATACCGCTTTCCCACTTCGATCTGATTAGATCCTATGTTGGTGGTGGTGGGCGATGCAGCAATATTTTATTGTAACCGGTTATAGTTGTATCCACCATACACATTTCAGAGGTATAGCAAGAATGGCCATGCAGTACTACATTTACAATATATTTAGCAGAAGCATTTGTCCAAAGCCTCCTCTAAAATGTCACGAAAAATTTTGTCAAAAATGTACTGTTGTCTTTACATTGCTATTCCAAAAAGCATGCTAGAACGTGTTGAACTTCATTGCTATTTCGTTCAGAATTACCAATTATTTCTCGCAGATCGTTTAACGCATTTTTTTTCTCATAAAAACCCACTGAAGCGCAGCTTCACTGGACTTCAGTGGGTGCGTTCGACTTGGGCTTAGGTCTGTCTGCAGCTGACGTGACGTGGAGCGAGATCTGCCGGCGGCTGCAGGGGTGGAGTATAAACTGACTGCAGCCAAGTTGGACAACTTCTACTCCCCATAGTGTGCGAGACCTGACTGTAATGGCAGGACTGCCAGAAGGGTGTAGATAAATCTATACAAATATCACTTGCATGCACTTCTTTTACAATAACCAACTCCTGATCCAAACTGTAAGCAGTGAAAAAATAAACTAATGTGTATAGTGGCCCTGTGTAAAAAGATAGCTGCCGGGAAAAAGATCAAATACATTTATTCCAAGGATTCAAAGTTGTTATTGTCATGTACAGAGTACAATGCAATTCTTACTTGAATGCCTTCTTCACAGATGACGATTAAACAAATAAAGCAGCGCAACACTACAGTAACTAACAATAAATAAACAACTTACTTACTTGTACTATTAGAGCATTTATTTAATTTTTTACACTTTATTTTATCAGATAAATTGCGGTCAGCACTGGAGCAGAGGCCTTATGACGGTGTCTGATCGGAGCCAGATTCTGCTGGGGGGCTGGTTTCTGGTGTAAATAAAGCCGTACTCATAAAGGTTGTGAGCGGAGCAAAGGAGGAGGCTGGACCTGCCCTGGGGCTGCCTTTGAGTGCTCGGCTGCGCAGACGGAGCAGAACGCCTCCTGGAGTTGGTCCGGATGGGGCAACTGCCGGTGCCTCTCGCTCGGTCAGTGTGTCTCTGCGTTTGCTGTGTACCGTGTACGGTGCTCCGTGTAGTGCGCATCGCAGGTACGCGCCGGGGAATCGGACACAAACGAAACTGATCCCCCGAAGACGCCGGGGCGCCTTGAGGGATATGCACGCTTTTGAAATTTGCTCTTTGTAAGTTCTTCTTTTCCTTATTACTTTGCGCCTATGCTTTCTCGGCAAACGTATGAAGCTTTAGACGGGGGCAGTACTGAAGCGTGGGAGCAGATGAATGCAGATACAGCGCCTAAACCGCAGCGTACGCGTCCCGCTAATTCGGGATGAAAATGGGATTTATACCGGAACAGACAGAAATGGAGATATCCTCTTTTTAATTTTTGTCACACATTTTAACGGCGCATTTTCTACTAAACATTTTAACAGATATTAAGAGGTATAAAACTGTTGAAGACTTGCGTCTCTTCGGACCTGAATCTTTATCGGGGTGACAGGGGAAGTTCAAACCGCGCTGGCTACTTGCACCGGTGTCTCCGCACTCTGTCACAGGTGTGCCCGGTGTGGGACGGTGATGACACGCTGCGGCTTGTCTGCGGATCTTCTCTGGGCTGTGGTTTCGCAGCCTCCACAGGACCTACAACCCCGGCGTACAGGCGCCCATTAGTTGGGGTAGGGGTCCGGCGCATGGAAACGTCAGTGCGGTGCCTAGAGCCACTTTGCGTCAGACTTGCGTTTTGGAGAACCGGACAGGAGGTTTTTGTTCTGAAACGTGCGGGGGGCTGGAATTATAGCTAACGTCTCCGAGCGATGTGGGGGTCTTTCACCTCCCCTTTATGAAGCGTTGACCCTACGTCCCCCCCGGGGGGCCTTACTGCAGCAGCAGGGTAGGTGGAGGCTGTAGGCAAGCTGATCTAATTGTAGATTAGATATGAAAAGGGCACAGGAACCTGGTGGGGGTGCTGATGGATGTTCAGCCTTTGGAGGAATGAACCCCGGTGTGGAGCAGGTGTAGCCCTAGGGGTGGGGGTTTGCTGCGGGGCTAAGCTTAAGCTAGTGGCCGATTGCTAACTTAAGGTTTGTGTGTAAAAAGTTATATGCTGTGGACTGCTGTGAATAAATATTTCTGTGTTTGTTCTAATTTAGTTTTAAAACTGAAGGAGAGATAGTCAAATGCTTTTTAAAAGCATGTACCCCCATCCCCACCCCTGTGTGTTTGAAGCGGGGGGGTGGGTGGGTTGGGATCAGAGAAACAGGCTGACAGTGGGGGACCCTAATTAATCCCTCATTTTCTGAATGCTTCAATGCTCAAAGTAAGGGGAAGCCAATGCCCCAGAGATGCTAATCAGCAGGTGACTTGTGGGGGAGGGGGGCACTAGGGACAAAGACCCCCCTTTCTGCAGCTATATTTATGAAAGCTGATCGCCTGCCTCTCACTCTTATCTGTGACTTGAACTGACATTGTGGAAATGGAACATGGTCATCTTTCACGAGATTACTGTGAAGCGGGCTCCTCCAGGAATGCTCTGCCTCCATGATGCCCCGCCCCTTTTAAGAACCGCCCCCAAAAGCATAGCCTGATATTTCAGTTACTATATCAGCCTTACTATTAAGTTTATAGTAAGTCAGTTTGGAAACAGAGTGTAAATGTCCTGAAATGCAGGTCGGTTACAGGGTGTAAGTGTGCTGAAACGCAGGTCGGTTACAGGGTGTAAATGTGCTGAAACGCAGGTCGGTTACAGGGTGTAAATGTGCTGAAACGCAGGTCGGTTACAGGGCGTACTGAGCACCGTGATGTGGTGTCTTGCGGCTTCTTTGAGAATCTAGCTCTTTCTCTTCCTGGACTTTGATGTGGTAGCGCTGCAGCCACAGCACCTGACATACTTCCTGAATCGCCTCAGATGTTGATCTGGGGACAATGCTGCCCCCCTCCCCCCAAGAGATGATGGGATTTTACTATTATACTGTCATAGTTCTGTTCCCTCAGACAGCTCAACACCATCCAGGCAGCTAAAATTACTCCAGTATTTTTAAAGCATTTTGTAAAAATGTATAAATACACCGTTATGGATGATATAATATTAATCCAAATCTCAATGAACTGACTGTAGGACTGTTAGAATCTGCACAGCTGAGACATGAAAGCCACGTCCTTCATCCTTCATGCTTTGAAATGCTCCCTTCTGTTTGTTGATATAAAGTCTGCCTCCTGATAAAAGTGCCGCGGGCCCCCGGGATAAGAGCCCCCGGGCTCATGCTCAGCCCTAAAGCTGAGACTCACCCAGATGATTCATCTGCTCCACTGGGCTGCCGACATAATCGGTTTGCTGCTCACCCTGAGATGGTGAGTCCAATCGGCACCTGGGTGACATGCTGACCCTGTGCTAGAGTGACACTGTCCCCCGGGCTGATCGCACAGGAAGTGAGCGATTCTTGTCTCGTCGTCGTCGTCCCCCCCCCGGGCTGGAGTGACACTGTCCCTCGGGCTGATCGCACAGGAAGTGAGCGATTCCTGTGTCGTCGTCGTCGTCCCCCCCCCGGGCTGGAGTGACACTGTCCCTCGGGCTGATCGCATAGGAAGTGATTAATTCCTCGGTGTCACCCCTTGCTGGAGTGACACTGTCCCTCAGGCTTATCTCCCGATGCCAGAATTTCCTCTGGCCGGAGACCTGCACTCCTTGGATGTTCACCGCCCGAGCCGGTGGTGACAGTGTTGCCAGCATGGTGCTATTTTAATTTCCTGCCTGGTGCTTTGAAGATCTCGGCCCCTGACCCCTGCTCCTGGGGAGTTTATGGCCTTGCAGGCAGGTTTGTGGACCGTATGAGGTGACTGTTAACCCTCGGCTCAGATGCTGGATTTAGCAGACGAGCAGAATAAGACTCTACACTCTACTGGCAGAGGTGGATAGTTCAGGTCCAGAAAGTAAAAATCCAGTCCAAGTTTTGTTTTGACCAACCAGTTGAGTATAGAGAATCACAGTCACAGAGTACTCCACTGGTTAGTTGAAACAAAATCTTGGTTTGGATTTTTACTTTCTAGACCTGAACTGTCCACCTCTATCTATGTGTGCCAGTGTGAAAACATACTGGCCCTGTTGGGGGATGGAGTAGGTTTAGTATTTCAATGGCTTCTCATCTGTTTATCACAGATTTCCCACAATGCATCTGTCCAGCCAGCTCGTCGTCCTCATTACACTGTTGATGATTAAAGGTAAGTCACTTTGGCATACCAAAGACAGATTCTTGTAACACTCTGGACCATTTGGAAATAGAGTTAATTTTACAGCAAATCCCAGCTCTGTAGACCGATCTTGCCCTTATTGACATACTAGAAACAGGGAGAAGTTACCAGAGCTTTCACATTCACTGACCAATCTGATCTATTGGTGGACCAGGCCGCCTGTTTGGACCTCCTGTTCTCAGTGTTGTTTTCTGTGAGGTGCCTCACACGGGAAGGCTTTTGGGCTCTACAGAGGTCTGCAATAGTGGATGTCTATGGATGGGGGGGGTCCATTCAAAGTCATATAAAACGGACGTCAGGAATGACACCAATCACTTTGTTAGGGAACTTTCTCTATAAGTTCCCCCCCACCCACTATGCACACATACCACAGGGCTCCATAAGCCATCCTGAGAAACGCCCCCCTTCAGCCCCGTGGGGGGTTAATCAGCGAGGTCCACACCCGCAGGAGCAGCCCATGCAGCCCTGAAGCCCTTTGGGCACCGGATCTGCAGAGGGTCGTGATTTAAAGTGCCCATTTGTCCGTCCCTGGTGTGTGTCCCCCCCACTGTCTCTCCTGGCTGTTTTAACCCCTCTCTGACTGCCAGTGAGTATTTACACCCCCCATGCATTTCACCAGCTTTTATTGCCCACCCCACTACACTGCCCTGGGCCACCTCCCCCCCACCTGCCAATGGGCGTTTCGGCTGAAATCTGATGTTCGCTGTTTTTCTGAGTAACAGCTGCAGTGAAAATGGCTTTGCTCAGGGGGGCCCTGGACACCCCTCCATACCCCTCAGCCTGTAGCATTGCGTCAGTGTAGGAATGTGAAATATCCCGGCATTTCCAGGATTTATGGAGCTGCCCCTGGGGAGGCTGTTCGCCATAAACCTGGGGATCCCTGGGAGATTTTTAGAGGATGTGATCAGGTGTCAGCTGTAGCAGACAGCTGGAAACCCACAGATGTGCCCCGCCCCCTTTGCTCGTGTTAGACCCTGTCGACGTGCCCCGCCCCCTTTGCTCGTGTTAGACCCTGTCGACGTGCCCCG